ATTAGCTATAAACGCAGCACACGGTGCGTTTCAGAATTGAGGGAGCCTACACAATCCGCCAGTTGCGCGAGTTATTTTATGGGACGTCACGATAACAATGAAACAAATTGGACAAAACGGGCGGAGGATATACGAAAGTGCGCTTTTACATACGAAATGAGAGACGCTAGATGTATGTATGCAGTGCTGCTGTCAGGCCGATACAGGGCATCTACGTGTATGATGTGCTTACCAACTTACTAACCCGGTTCTCGTGTCTCATGATGCATTTATTGGATTGTAAAAAAGTTCAGCGGATTTTGATAGAGATGGTATTTCTGTAAAAATATACAACAAATTCGAGACGGACGAACAAACATTATACGCTACATTTTATGGTTTGTGTTTCCCAAAGACTCAAAGGGAACCGAAGCAAAGAGAGAAATGTTTTGGGCGTACGGTGGCTCGGCTTTAAGTGCAGACACATTAGAACACACATGCTCGTTTCTGTTCTGGAGGGTTTGGCCTTTAAGGTGCACCTCACACGCAAAGAGCAAACGCTCTTGACAATGACCAACTCCTTGCTGCAGTAAGAGCAGATAAAGCACTCGGCTACAACTCTAGAGACTATTATGCATTTCATCATGTATCACATAATCTTTGCTGATCACCTAACAATCTTAGCATGGTGGAAAGATGTCTGGTTGTCCCATGAACTAACCGAAATCGGCCTTATAAGTCGAGTTTTGATATAATGAGCGGCACTACAATTGAACTCTTAAAACCCATTTTTGAACCGCATTTTTACCTGAGATAGAGAATGAAATATCTTTCTAGAAGTTACACGGTGTAAGTCGTTGCCCAGGAGCTTCAGCAAACAGTGCCAAAACTCAATTCGGCCTTGGCATTTGCGTGGATAGTAGGATTATAAGGGAATTCTGTTTATTGGATCATTTAAGCTGCTCTTAGATCTGGCGTTAGCGACGACAAGGTGACGTCTGTAATCGGCACGGGTATTGCGTTTCTTGAAAAGTGACGTTATATCGTTTTTTTACATTATACGCTTTTTTGACATTAAGTACGTTTTTCTACAAGATATTAACTTAGCACTAGTTGACAGACACTTTTGTAAGCTCGTTTTGTAGTTGTATGTGTTGCCTAAACGTCATGAGGCTTCAGTTATTAATGTTTGGCTATGATGTGATGTAAAATATGCTTCAGAGATGGCATTACTGGAGGTAACGACATAGTGAGGATTTCTGTTGATGATAATTCCATTGGATTCTTGTCTCAAATATACTGACTTGAGATTCAAAGCGCATCCACTTTTTCTTATCCATTCTGGAAATTACATATGCAAATTTGTTGAATTCCAAAAATGAGAGATAAGAAATAATTATATTCACTGTACTCTGTCGAATTACAAGTCATATACTTGCTAATATTAATTACACACAACGCGGGTGCGGTGGTGATTTCCCGTAATTCTTCTCAAAGTCTTTCGTAACATAACTTTGAACATAAACTCTCTTCAGAAAGCACAACACAAATAACCCGTCGGGCACAGCTAGATATACTTCTTTGGCAGCATATTCAGTAATGATTTTCTCACACAGCAAATATCACTGATTTTATACACAAGCATTCCAGACCACATGCGTTTTGCTATTCAACCAACTTTCTTCTCAGGGATAAAAACTACAGATAACTCCTCCATAGATGGATGCTCACAGCGATCCTAGAGAGCGAACGTGGAATGATGATGGAAAGATGTCATCTTGCCGAATTAGTTTTTAGGGTGCAAACAGTCATTCTAGGTTTGGTCACTAGGATCGTTGTGGCGTCCATCTATGGACTTACAGCTTAGACTTTCAGTAATGCCATCTCTGAAGCAGATTTCACATCATATCAGAGCCAAACATTGATAACTGAAGCCTTATGACGCTTAGGCAGCACGTACAAGTAAGTGCTAAGTTAACATCTTGTAGAAATACCTACATAATGTCACGAAAAACCAATACAAGTTCTAAAAAAATTGGCATAATGTCACTTTTGCCACAGCCGCATCGTTTGCCTGTCAAGTGGCAGTGGCAATGTCATAACCAGGGGGGTGTCAGTCATATACAAAGATGTGCACCCTGCTTAGAGTGACATCTGATGATTGCGTCGAACACTAATCGTCACCATAGAGTTGTATGTCGCATTTTTCTTGATTTTTAGTTTACAGCATTATATAGTTGTATGTACATTGAACTTTGACCAGACAGAGTTTCAAAGTTCTATCTCACATCCTTAAATTTATATTATCAGAAATACACAGTTGTATCTGGATTACGTTGGAATTACAAAGTGGCACGCAAGCCATACAACTTTGTGATAGCAGTAATAAAACAGTTTTTTCGGTACACACAACTTTGTTGTACTGAAACTGAAATCTTTCGCATCGAGTCGCATTATTCCAGAGTTAACACAAAGGGAGTACCTTGATTCTACCCTCAGTGAAAAGCAAATGTACAGGCTCTATGTTCAAAGTTGTACCGCTGCTCATAAGAATGCTGTATAATAGTCTTTTTACAGAAAAATATTTTCCACAGAGTACAATTTATACTTCGATGTTCCAAAAAAGATAGGTGTGACGTCTCTGAAGAGGCAAAATTAAGGAAAATGGAGAATACTCTAAGTGCAGAAAAGGCTATCGGATATTAGAACCACGTAAAATAAAAAACTGCAACGAGAAATGATAAAGAAAGAGACAGAGAATACCAAAATAGTCCATTTTTGGTATGTGATCCACAAAATGTCCTGCAGTGTGCCCAGCAGAAATTAGCCATTTCTATTACAAAAGCTAGTGCGAAAGGGTTCCGAGACTCTGTGTTAGAGAAGAGTCGTCGATCAGTCGGACATCCCTCCTCTAGACAGCATCGAGCATAAATAATGTAGTCGGGGCGCCACCACCCCAATCGTGTGAGCAATACTCGAGGCTAGACCATCTGGGCCTTGTATAGAGTGAGAAGGTTATGAGGAGAAAAGTAGTTCTTAGCCCCAAACAAATAGCCTAGCTTTTTTCCCAGCAGCTGCCGTTATTGACGAGATGTGTTCTTGCCAGATCAACTGCTGAGTGAACGGCTCTTTGGCAGAACTTGGCCATCCATCGAAACGGGATGAGCGCTAGGACGCATTTTGTTCGCCAAGGTACAGTACTGTGTTTTGGAAGCAACTAACTGTACAAGATTGTTGCGTACATAGCTGCATTGAGAGGGTTTTTGCCACAGTCGAATACTTTTCACCAGTATCACTCTTGAGAATTCTTCTAAATGTTAATGTTGCTAAGCCTTATTAGATTATACAGATGCGCTCAAAATACTTTAGGGATTATAAATTATTTACCTCTTCTTTTAATTATAAAGTGATACCTTTTTCAAAACTGAAAGCCGTAAAATTTACAAATTATTTTACCGAGGTCGAGTTTAAAATATCGCACCAATCACTATATTGGAGAAAAGACCACTACATACGACCAGATCGATGAATGATACTAAAAGCTCTGAAAGTCCCAGTTTAACATATTTTTGTGTATTTAGGATGTTGCTTTAAATTACTTGAACGTGTTACAAATCATAATCTAACAACTTTTCTATAGTATTTTTTAGAAAATCCGTATAGAAAAAAAGTTAAATAATTAATTATTACAGAACATTCCTTTCAGTGATAAAGGTGTAACATACATGAAAATTGTCTTTATGCCATAACTCGAAACAAACATTTACGTACATACAACAGTATAACTCTAAGGCAGCGTAATGGCATCTGACTGATTCATTTGATAACTATACTCATAGGTAATGCTTTTTTCATTTTGTTGTTGATACTCCTCATCTTAGATGGCGCAGCTTGACTTACTTTTTGAAATACTTGAAAGAATTGTCAAAGATGCAGTCAGCCAGAAATAATTTGAATTAAATTTAAAATAGTACCAAGGCAATTAACAGAAGCAATGAGCAAAGCAGAGCGAGAGTGCCCGTCGAGAGATATCTACCGATACGGCTACAGTGTCGGAGCCTGTTGAGAGATACCAGAATCGCCCAACTCCCTAGAACTTGTCTGCAGAGGCATGAATGGGGAGCATTCTGGCTTGCTGAAGGAATACGCAGCCCCAAGAACTCAACTTGAGGGAGAAAAAACTATATATGTTGAGAAGCTTACCAGCGAAATATTCGATAAATATGTCATAAAAATTGGTAAAAAATAAGAGCAGGAAAAGAGGCCGACAGGCTATGTCCTTGTCTGCGTCCTCTTCGGACGGGAGTTAAGAGCCCTCTGAGCTAAGGTAGATCCATCATACTAAGCCCCGGTCCCGGTCTACCGGGGATATAATTAAAGACACAAGGGGATAAACGTGTCATGTAACATTTTTAAATTGCTTCAATTCTGTGATTACTTTGTTGCAAAAAACAAGATAAAATTTAATTAAATACATTTGTTTACATATGAATGTTTTGGTTTTCTTTTTTTGAAAGCGCCCAAGTGTGTGACTAGTTTTATTAAGCAAGTATAGTTTGTCCTGCTCTTGGTTGGTTTAATAATGGCGCCGAGGATGTTGATTTTATATTTCAAATGTAACTGAACTATACTCATATCTTCGAACAACTATCTTGGATGAACTAGCTTGGATTAAAAAATTTTGATAAGGCAAACATAATAACAATATATAGGAACCTATCACAAGACTTGATGCCATTTTTTAAATGTCATGCATTTACTTACATGCCTATTTTGTGTTGTATGTTATTTTACTGAATACAAGTGGATGAAAACTTGGAAACTGTATCTTTTAATGACTAATTCTAATAACTCATACATATTTTTTAAGTTAGCCTAATTAACAACACCCTGTATACATCTGTTTATAAATATAATGCAACTCGAGAATAACAGAGCGGGTAAGTGTCACTGATCAGAATGCTGTAAGCATTGTCGTTTTAGTTTCGTTTCTTATGGGTTAGTATTCAGCGCAATCATCAGATGGCACTGTGAACAGTGGTACCCTATGCTACCTGAGCTGCTTTACAGTGGTTTTTTCCAAGCCATGGACGGAACACTGCGCAGACTAATCTTCAGCGCATCTGCTACTCTCTCCAGTACGCATGAAGTGGGTAACAGATGACCGCTGTTTTCATCCTCTTCCTGGAAATACTCTAATAAATCTAGCATGTGCTGAGGGTCTTATCCACTGATCGTATTTCAGGGCATTGAACAATTTTGTATTGAAGATTGATAACAGGACAACTCAAATTGCTCGCCGATGTCATGTAAATTGTCACTCTGACAAATATGATTGAAGGGCACTCATACGTAACTACAAAGTTTTCGAGACGGAGATACACAACCAAAAAACGAATGTCTTTGAGCTAACCGAACAAACGTTAACACACAGGGGTACGTTGCATATGTATGTATGAGGGAGATGGATATACACCTATATAAAGGGATACTGGCAGTCTTACTTTGACTGGCCAAGAACGGTGACTACAAGTATATCTGTAGTCTGTAGTGTGGCTAATAAATAATCTGTGGTCAAAACCTAATTTTAGTTCTTTCATAATGAACTAGAAGAAATCACAATAATTTATTATCTACAGCGAAAAAGAATGAAGAAAAGCAAACAGAATAAACCTAAGGAAAACAAAAAGAAGAAACCTTCGGTACGTCATTTCATATCTGACAGAGGCTATAGCGGATTTTTTTATCAGAATTAAGAAAAATATGGATAACGTTTTTGAATGTTGTGATGAAACATTCACCATTGTGTCTCACTGACAGCATTTTAACAGGTGCTGCCCGGCAACCTGCTTTATTGGCGACGTTGTACCTATAGTCAACGCCAAACAAAGTGGCGTGCACGTCATCACGATAAAAATTCCCCGACCTAATGCCTAGGTTTCTATCACAAACAATTGCTCTATTGCAGTTTCATATTAATGTGATATATAAATTGTAAAATGGTCATTACTCTCTTATTATGGTTAATAGTCATATAAACATTGTTATTAAAATATCACATAAGTTGCTTTCTGATAAATTTAGACGCATTATGCGAAATAAAATGTTTTGCAAACGCTCCAATCACTTATCGACATGTAAACGCACTAAACCGATTTCGCAGCGTTGACACATTGTCACCTTGAAACTTATTTAAACTGGGAACTGACATTTGTATTAATTTTGACACTGAATCAATTTGTGGCATTTCAAATCTTTATAAATCCTTTGGCCCCGCATACTGTAAATCAACAACTGTTTGTTTCAAAACAAAATTATTCATTTTACGAGTAGATAAAGGCAATTTTGGTATATAAAGATGCCCAAACAGTTAAATAGTCGGTGTAAGGAACTCGTGGCCTCGTTAATGCACTACTTTGAGCAAGAAAGGGACAACAACGGGCCTTTGTTGCCTTTAAATGCTGTTCAAGAGGTAGGTTACTAATAATTATATGTAATGTATATTAATAATAGTGAAATTTTATTTCATTTTTTGTAGCGTGTTGCTGCTGCTTTAAAAATTAGTTTAAGGACAGTTAGTCGTATTTCCGAGGGTGTGAAAAGTGATGCAAATTTAGAATCGCCCAAGAAAAAGCGGAGTTATATTAAACGTGTAACCAACACAGCGACATTGGATACAAGCATTTGTTGATGGAACCAAACCTTCGTTTCTTTGTCTGACAGAAACCTGGCTCAGCCCTAATATACCTGACTATGTTGTTAATTTGCCTGGTTACTGTTTGTATAGGGAAGATTCCCCTCGCACGCCGGGGTATTGTGGGGTCTGTGTTTATGTACGTACCGAATTCGCTGACAATTTCACAATAACTACTACCTCCAAGAGCTTCGATGGTATCGACAGTCTCTTTTTGGAACTAACACGGCCAAAGTTCAGTTTTGTATTAGCCTGTATCTACAGACCGCGTCCCTGTGCTGGTGATGTTTATTTGTGTAAATTCATCGAAGAACTTCTAACCAAGAATTCAAACATTCTGTTAACTGGTGATTTCAACTTACGTGACATCAGCTGGCCCATGACAACATTACCAGAATGCAACTCTCCTTCTGCCCCTTATATTGATTTAATGCGTAAGTCGAACATCCTCCAACTCGTAGATCATCCGACGAGATTCAGAGAAGGCCATACTCCCAGAACTCTCGACCTGATATTTGTAAATGATCCTGACTTTGTTTCCAGTCTAGACTACCTACCTCCTTTTGGCAAGTCGGATCACTGTACCTTATTGACCTCACTTCAATTCTATGTACAAACTCCATCACGTAGACATTTCAAAACTGTGAAGCTATTAAACTACAGTGCTCTCAATCGAGCATTGTCTGAAATAAACTGGTCCAACCTGCTTGCACAACGTAGCACTGAAGATATGTGGGATATATTCTCTCGTCGAATCCAACTGGAAGTCACTAGGCATACGACCACAAAGAAGATATTCAGTCACCCAAGAAAGCCTTGGATTAACCATAACCTCTCAAGGATGTTGAGGCATAAAAAAGCGTTATGGCAAAGATTCCAAAGAAGTAGACTACAACAGGATTATGTATCTCATCGATCTTTCTCTAACATCCTTTCGAAGAACTTGAAAAACGCCAAGCGCAATTATGAGCAAAATCTTGTATCATCGAAAGATAAGAAGAAGTTGTTTAGATACTTGAGATCCACTCTGAACTCTAAGGTTTCTTCCCCACAAATCCGTGATCCCAATGGCCACCTACATACTGATGCCGAAAAATCTGCCAATCTTCTTGCCGATGCTTTCAGTGAAGACTTTGTGAATGAACCTGATGGTGATGGTACTCTTCCGAACTTATCCAGCCCTCATAGATGCCTAGCGACCATCTGTAGCATAGATTTTCAACCTCAGGACATTGAGAGGCACCTTACTAAACTGAAAACTTGTTCGTCCCCTGGAAAGGATGGGATTACTTCTGCCGTTATGAAGTCCTGTGCCTCAGCTCTCGCATACCCCCTGTGCATTATATTCAACTCCTCGATTCAAAATCACATCCTTCCTTCCTGTTGGCGTACTGCATCTGTGACACCTATATACAAAAAAGGAGATAAAACATCTGCGAAAAACTACCGTCCTATCAGTCTTGTGCCTATAGCTGCGAAAATAGCCGAAAAGATCGTCCAGGAACAACTTATGACATTTGCGTTCAAGAACAACCTGCTGCCTAGCAACCAACATGGTTTTATTCCTGGTAGATCAATTATCACCAACATGCTACACTGCATTGACAATTGGACCAGATCTTTAGACGCAAATGAACCGGTCGACGTGGTTTTTCTGGATTTTTCCAGAGCTTTCGATCGAGTTCCGCATAAAAGGCTCCTGCACAAGCTTGAACATCTCGGAATCAGGGGAAATTTGTTGTTATGGATTGAAGCTTTTTTGTTAGACAGATCTTTCTCCGTCCGTGTTGGAGACGCCTATTCTTCTAGTCATCGTGTTACTAGTGGAGTTCCACAAGGATCTGTGCTAGGGCCAATACTTTTTCTTCTTTATACAAGCGACCTTCCCACCCGACTTTATTCTATGTGTTCCATCTATGCAGATGATACTAAAGTCTATAACACTGTCATGAACTCATCTGTGCTTCAAGAAGACCTCAAGCTGATCAGAAAGTGGTCAGAACTCTGGCTCCTGCCTTTAAATCTATCGAAATGCTACGTTCTCCACCTGGGAAAGAATAATCCTAACTTAACATATAAGATTGGCAAACATACCTTAGAGTCTGTTCTTCATCACACAGATCTTGGTCTGACAGTTAATGGCCGGCTCACCTGGTCGGAGCACATTCAGAACATAACCTCTAAGGCAAAGCGGTTGCTATATGATGGAAAGGTCATTTAGCGGTTGCACCGTTAGTACCTCCTCCTTTCTATACACAACTTTCGTACGACCCCTACTGGAGTTTGCTGGTCCGGTATGGGATTCAAACCTTGTTCGCGATAGCAGCTTATTAGAGGCCGTTCAGCGTCGTGCAACACGTATGCCATATGGCACACGTAGGCCAAGTTATGAAGACCGCCTCGAGCTATATAACCTGCCTGCTTTTGCTGATAGAAGAGTACGAGGAGATCTCATCATCACTTTCAGAGCACTGCATAATTTGTTTGGTGTGGACATGTCGCATCTGTTTCGTCTGGCAACGAACAGTCTCAGAGGCCATAACTTCAAATTGCAGAAGGAAGCTTTTAGAACCTCTACTCGTCAGCGCTTCATCTCAAACCGTGTCTTTGATGCATGGAACAGTCTTCCATCTTATGTAGTGAACTCGGAATCCGTCAACAGTTTCAAAAACAATTACGATAGACACCGCAGTGCTTAACATATTGTTCCCATTCTGTATATGTCTACTTCAGTAGTGCTAAGATTGTCAAATTGTTATATTTCTTTTGTCTGTACACTATTATCTATTTTTGTGTTTGAGTTTATAGTACTTGTACTCAACTCAAATTTGTTGTTTAATAATAATAATAATAATAATAATAATAAAGTGCCATTCGAGAAGTGATCTATAATATGTATCACAAAAGTAAGATCTTATTATAATAATTTGCATTAATTTGTTAACTAAATTATAATGTCATATTACACATGGTTTCAGAAGAACAAGTTACGATACAAACTTTATGGTCTCGATTAAGAGATAGGGCATTATTTGATGGTAGTGCCACGTCTTTAAGGCGGTTGCTTAGAGATCTTGGATTTAAGTGGCTTAAGGACAATCCGCGACGAGGGCTCATGGAACTACCAAGTATAGCTTTGAAAAGGTGGAATTTCTAAGGCAATACAATCAAGCCAAGGTTGAGGCCTTATACCAGTTTGTCTTCCTCGATGAAACTTGGATATTTCAAAATGGGACCATAGGTCGCTCTTGGCAAAATGGAAACCAAAAAAGCGTGAAAGCTATTAAAACAGATGGTAAAAGGTATGTACTTTTACACAATTTGCACTATAAAATTTAAAACTAATATATTTTAGATACATTATATTACATGCTGGAAATGAAAATGGGTTTATTGAGGGTAGTGAAGCGATATTTTCTACGAAAACAAAATTGAGCGATTACCATGGAGAGATGAACCAGGACAATTTTTTGAAATGGTTTCAACATCAGTTATTAGAAAAATTGGAGAGTCCATCTATGATTATACTGGATAACGCCCCTTATCACAGCATGATATTGAACAAAGTGCCCAACAATGCATGGACAAAAAAAAATATCCAA